TTTTTTATTACAGGCCTGGTTAAGACTTCACAGCATCAGTTTATATAGTGGACCTATTTTATGTATTATTTCTGCAAGGTGTGGCAATTCAAAATCAGAAAAAGCAGATAGACAATATCTGGGATTGGGATATGGCTTGGCAGGTCCAGGAAATTGGTGGTGGTGATAAGGAAAGGAAGGAAATAATGACAGAGGGTTAGTAACTCTCGACTGGGTAAGAAAACTGGGAAAGCAAGAGAGTAATTTCCATCAGAAGAAAATCTGTTTCCTTATGTTTCTCTTTAGAGCAATGAAATCTTTTCTAGAAATTGTCCAACAGACTTCTCATGCCTCATTGGCCAGAACTAGGTTATAAATTATGCTGTCTTCCCTTTGCCTCTTTACTCTTTTCTACCCTATTTAGAGTCCATAGCATCAGCCTCCCAGGGCACAATCCAGTGGCTCCTGTGCCCTCTTGTTCATGGTAGGGTTTGGTCATGGTTGGGTTGGGCAGCACTGATAGGAGATCCAAGGGCAGAGAGTAAGAAGTGTTTTTGTAACGTCAGTTCCCTTTGGGCTGGGTAGCCATCACTTCTGTTCAGTTCTTTCCAAAGTGTTCTCTTTGGCTTGCCTTGGCTTTTCAGGATGAGCGACTGAACGGAACTGACTGAACAGCTTTCTGGTTGTGTGTTCCTAGCCCTAAAATCTACGCCATCTTTCATTGTTTTTCTTAAATTTGTTGACACATTTATAAAAAAGTCCCTTCTAGACTCTTCTCAGTAAATGTAAGTGGGCCATCTCTGAGTGCTCATGCCCACTCTTGAATCAGTCTTTGGCAAGGGGACTGAGACACATGCTCTTGTGAGGGAAGCACTAACCTTGTTCACCATAGTCACATGAGATTATAAAAAGGAACTGCATATCTGTTAGTGGACACAGTAAATTTAGCCCTCTAGAACAGAAGTTGTTATACACAACCACTTTCATTCATTTATGCCTGTAGTGCTTCTGGACTATATGGCCCCCACAGCCTAAAGTTCTCTCTGGCCCATTACAGAAAAAAATTGCTGATCCCCGATTGAGAACTATACTGTTCAGTATGGTCCAGTTGAACACTTGAACCATTGCTAGTCCGAACTGATATACTACTATAGTTGTAAAATACATACCACGTTTCAAAGACTCACTTGCACCTGTTTTTACTTTTTCATGTGGCTCCTAGGAAATTTTAAAGTACATATGTGGTTCACATTTATATATTTGTTGGATAGCTTTGATCTAGAAAGTAACTGGTAACCTAGAAAGTAAGGAATTAAAAGCTGCCCTTTAGTAAAAGCCTCTGTTAAGTACAATAGGCTTCCTAGGTGATGCTAGTGATAAAGAACCCACCTGCCAGTGCGGGAGCCATAAGTACAGGAAGTATAGTATGTAAAGCTGAGAGAGCTTGGCACCTAGAGGCATTTGACTCAGGGTCAAGTCCCAGAAGACCCAAGTCCTTACAAGTCTTCATGCTGTTTCCATTGCCTGAGATAATCTTTCCTAGTACCTGTTCACTGTGATTTTTCCTTATCGTTTGAGACTCAGTTCAAATATCAAATATTGACTTCCTCTGCAAAAGCTCACTCCACCCTGACAATTCCACAGTCCTTCTGTGTATTGTAGTTATCTGTGTTTGCATATTTCTCCTGAGATCCTAAAGGAGGGGGTGGTTGAAATACATGCCTAGTACTGTATGTATTGGGTTCTTAGAGGATTTTTACATAGTGAGTGAATATATAATTGAGTGAATAAATGAGTTACTAATTTAATAAGTTTGGTTATTTGTCTTTTCCTTCTGGGTAACACTGGCAATTAATTTGGCCTAGTCATGTAAGCATAGGATTTTACGAGTCAGATTTAGTGAAAAGTCGTGAAGAAGCAGCCCAGGTAGAAAAGCAGAACTTTCTGGAGCTGTTTAGTATAGGCTCCATTGCTCTCATTTCCATTTTAATATCAATAAAAGTATTATAATAGCATGGTACAATAAATGATCTTTTTTTAAACATAAAGATTATAGTGCAGTCTTTCTGTTTTTAAAGGTGCTAATTTTAGGAGGGGCTTCATCAAACTGGTTCAAATTCGATTTTTGATACTTTAGGGAGTGCGTTTTTAAATATTCAGTTCAGTGTTGTAGATTCTACAAGTGTGGGGTAGTATTCATGAAGATAAATGTCACAAGCCTGATTTCTTAGAAATCAGTAGGTTAGGGGAAAAAAATCTAGAATAGCTTTCTTTAAGGATTTATCTTTGGGTCTACTAGTAGGTATTAACAGTTTATGATCAGTTAACAGTAATATTAATGATTTAGATATTTCAGACACTGCAAGACACTCAGTCCTTGTTTATCACTACTTCAAAGTCAACATTTTAGAAATTTAGAAGCCTTGAGTTTATTCAGGTGGTTGGTTGTCTATATATAGGTCTTTAAATCATTGGATATTCACTTTTATGGCATTATTCTTTTGATTTTTATGACATTTCAGTTTTGGTGGATAGCAGGAAAGCAATTTACATGAGGTTAATTTGAGGTGAAAGAAAATGAATTGTTAATGTATTTTTCTCTGACTTTATATAACTTTATTGTCACTTGGAGTGGGGCCTTCAGAGATTCTAGTTTAACTGGGAAAAACTTCCCAGCTTTCCAGTCCCTGACTCATCAAAACCAATTTGAAATGGTGGTGATGTTATTTATGGATAGACATATTCCTTTTGGAAGTGATGCGCAAGTAGTGAGAATTAGTCTCTGGTGTTTTCTTCCCCATCTCCCTGTGGTCGTTAGTTGAAGGGAAGAAGCTTCTGTATTCATTTATTTAGGAATCCATGGTCTGATCATAGATAGAGAGCTAAATAAAAGTATTTTTTTACTACCGCTGGAAAAATCAAGTGAATATTTGTTTTACCTTCATATTTCTTACCTAATAAGTTACCAGTTTGAGAATATCTTCAAAATTTATCATCTGTTCACTCCCAGCGCCATTGTTTTGACTTATGGCAGTATTATTTCTTGTCAGGATTTATAGTATTTCACTTCTGTGACTCTTTCTTTCTCTCTTGCCAGAGAGTGGACTTTTCTAGTATCAGATCAGTTACTCTTTTGCTTAAAATTCTTAATTTCCTCAGAGCTGTTGTGATACAGACCCTTCACAGTATGACCTCCAGCCTCCTTCCCAGTCATAAATTCTACCATTTTCAACAATTAAAGGTATTACTGCACAGTCTTCTGGCTTCTTCTGTTGTTGGTATTGATGAGTCAATACTCAGCATAATTGCAGTTCTCTTGAAGGTGATATTTTCTTTCTTGTTGTTTTCAAGAGCCTTTTGTAGTTTGCTTTAAAATAAACCTCTGTATAAAAGATACATTTAAAAAACCTCTGTATTATACAGTTTTACTATTATAAATCTTTACTCAGCTTGGGATTCTTTAATCTTCCTTTGAGCTCTGGCATTTTTTAACACTTCTGGAAAGTTTTTAGCCATTATTGCTTCCAGTTTTTTCTCTAATTTTAGGGCTTTTATTAGAGGTATTTTGGACCTTCACATTCTGCATGCCTTTTTTCCCAAGTTGATTATTGTGAAAAGATATAAATAAATAGAGGATTAAATAAGTTTTATTTCAGCCATAAAAATAGAATAGTAGACCAGTAAAATTGATGTAGAAGACTATGTAATGACATGCAAGTATTAACAATATAACAAATGAAAACAGTATGCATAATGACCCCATTTTTATGATATGTATATTTATAATATTTCATATTATTATTTGATTTTACCAAAGTAAAAGAACAGATGATATTTACCAAAATATTAGTTACTCAAACACCATAGGGTAGTGGTGATTTTGTTAGATTTTTTGGGGGGCAGGGGGTTTGGATTTTTAAAAATTTTCTATAAATGGGAAGAGGGAGTCTGTTTTCATTTCTCTTGTGTATTACCTAGGAGGTGGAATTTCTGGCTCATACGATAATAACTCAGTGTTTACTTTTTGAGGACGTTCCAGAGTTTTTCAAAAGCACTACATTCTCAGCAGCAGTGTGGGAGGGTTTTAATTTCTCCATATCCTGGTCAAAATTTTTCCTCCTCACTTAAACTGTTTTATTTGTACCAAGTAGTTCCACTCTTACAAACTTCATTTTTACAAGTATGTATTAACACTTCTCTAACTGTATGATGGAACAGCTGTTACATCCAGTCCCTGAAATAGCTCTCTTCTCAAAATTTCGTGCTGGTACAGCTCCTTCTAGCTTTACTGAGATAATTGACACATAACATTGTGTAAGCTTACGGTGTACAGTGACCAGCACTTAGAGCCATCCTGCTGGGTGTATGTAAAGGAATATTTGTTTGTGGTTTTGATTTGCATTTTCTTGATGGCAGTTATGTTGAGCATCTTTTCAGATGGTATCAACCGTTTGTGTATCTTTTTTGGAGACATGTCTGTTCAGACACTTAAATTGGACTGTTTGTCTCTTCCATTGAATTGTGAGAGTTGTTTACGTATTCTGTATGCAGGTTCCTGATCAGATTTGCAAGTATTTCCCCTATTTTGTGTCTTTTAACTTTCTTGATAATGTCCCTTGAAGCAGAAAAGATTTTTAAAAAAATTTTTAGTGAAATCCAACTTATCTAATTTTTCTATTGTTGCTTGTACATTTTACTAGTCATAGTTAAAGGATCCATTCAGACAGTCTAATTTCCTGTTATTGTCAGAATTGGATCTTGTAGCATCTTATGATTAAAACAGTTGTAAGCATGGTGTGTACCTATAGTAGTTTTTTTTTTTTTTTTGTCAGCTTACCATTTTTATGTATAAATTTTCTTCTATTTATATTGCCCATGCTTCCTTTTTAAAAGTTGTGTTATGTTCTGTGGTTTTACTAAAGTTTGTACTTGTCATTTTTTGCTTTTTTTTTAAGTTCATGATTTAAATAATGCTGATAGGTAGCTCTCGAATCTAAAAACTACATTTTTTCTTTCCTTAGGTCGGGTTGATTTAAAACAGTTGATATCAAAGAAGATACAGTTGACAGCAGAGGCAGAGGTAAGTAATTCTCTCTTCCAGAAACAAAAATGTAGAGTTTTAGAGTAAAGGGTTTTATTTGGTGCAGTTTTTAATGCTAAACTGTTCAAAGAACTATTTACTTTTCTTATCAGTTGACATCCTGTGATGAACAGGAAAATAAGATCTACCATCTTGTCATTCTGCCTAAGAACCAGATTATCATTTTTTTCCTCTGCTACCATCCATCTGTCACAGTATCTGGCTTTTGCCAGTAAAACTCAGTTTTTGTGAACATGGTACAGTTGATACTTACATAAGTGCTTGTGTAGGTACTTTATGAAAGTATCTATCATGGTTCATAGTAAATAATGGGCCTTCAATAAACATTAAATCTGAAACTAGAGATTCCCTGTTAGGGATGTAGAACAAATAGTAATATCAATTTGCAAACAACATTAAGAGATTTCAGGGAATTCCTCAGTGGTCCAGTGGTTAGGACTCAATACTTTTGCTGCTGTGACCTGGGTTCACTCCCTGATCAGGGAACTAAGATTCTGCAAGCTGCTCAGTACAACCAATAAATAAGTAAGTAAACAAACAAACAAAGACCTTTCAGGCAAGGGAACAGTTCTACAAGTTTGATTTCACCAGAGCCCTCAGGAAATCTGGAGGACAAAGAACACTGAAAAAAATGAAGGATGGGTGGTGGTACAGTGGAGAAGAATCCGCCTGCCAGTGCAGAGGACATGGTTCAGTCCCTGGTCCAGGAAGATGCCACATGCCGCAGAGCAACTCAGCCCATGCACCACAACTGTTGAGCTCGTGTGTTGCAACTCCTGAAGCCTGTGAGCCTGGAGCCTCTGCTCTGCAATGACGAGTAGCCCCGGCTCGTGGCGGCTAGAAAAAGCCTGCATATATCAACAATAACCCAGTGCAGCCAAAAATAATAATTCATTAAAAAAAGTCAACTACTATGTGTGCCTGAATGTAAGTTGGCTTCAAATGCAAGGCAGACAGACTCCCTTTCTCCCAGGAAGAAGATTACTTCCAAATTGATTAGCCAACCTGAATATATAAATGTCCAGTGATGTAGATAAAATAGCCCTGTTTTCATTTATTAATCACATGTGCATGCACGCATAAACACATTTATATTGTTGTTTAGTTACTAAATTGTATCTTTGCGATCCCGTGAACTATAGCCTGCCGCCTCCTCTGGCCATAGGGTTTCCCAGTCAGGAATACTGGAGTGAGTTTCCATTCCCTACTCCAGTGGATCTTCCCAACCCAGGGATCAAACTTGCACTTCCTACGTTGGCAGGTAGATTCTTTACCACTGAGCAACTAGGAAGCCCCCTACAAGGTGGGGGGGGGGGGTCTGCCTTGAATTTGAAGTCAACTTGCATGCATTTGGCCTTCCCTGGTGGCTCAGACAGTAAAGAATCTGCCTGTAGGTTTGATCCCTGGGTTGGGAAGATCCCCTGAAGAAGGAAATGGCTATCCACTCCAGTGTTCTTGCCTGGAAAATTCCATGGACAGAGACTGACTGCCTATAGTCCATAGGGTCGCAAAAAGTCAGACACGACTGAGCAACTAACACTTTAACTTTTTTCACTTACATGCGTTTATATAGAATACTTTAAATTTAGATTTTTATCTTATTTTGTAAAACAGTGTATCTAAGATAAAAACAGATACGTAAGATATGCAGGGCATAGCTTGAGCAGAGGTATGGAGGTAAGCAACTTAAACTGTATCTTGGAAATGACACTTGATTGACATCTGTGCCCCTGGTAGAGTATGATAAAATAAAATTTGGGCTAGATTGTAAGGCATTTTTTTTCCTCTGCCTTCATGCCCTTATTCATGAAGCTCTTTCTGCGTGAAATTTTCTTTAACTTTCTACCTTCACCAATCAAGATCCTATATATTCTTTAAATTCTCATTCAAATGCTGGTGCTTCTGAAGTTTTCAGAAACCCCAGCTTGAAATGTTATCCGTCCTACTTTATATGTCTAAGTTCTTCGTTTATGCCGTTAGCAGATACTCTATAATTGTTATACACTGCTTTGTTCTGAATGAATCACCAAAATTCCTCTGGTGAACTTACAGACAATTTAACTTAGGAGTGTTTTGTTTGGCAATTTGGTATCAAATGAGATTGAACATCTTGCCATTATTAATGAATTAGAATGTTTCTGAGGGAGATGTATTAGGAATGCTATACTGATTGAAGAAACTATTGAGTTTGAAGATGAGACCACATTGGAAGCTCCTGTAATATTTTTAATAGTCTAGTGACTAAACAGGGGCAAGGAGGAGAAGGAAACCACATTTAGAAGTCCTGTTGTGAAAAAAAAAAGAAGTCCTGTTGGGTGCTAGGCCTTAAACTAGGTAATTTATATATGTAACCTTATTTACTTAAATTCTCCCTTTCATAACAATGTCTAACTGGTTATATTTTTTTGTTGTTTTCTTTTATTGGTTACACTCACTAATGTGAAATGACCATTGAGATGGCAGGTATGTGAATATTTTTCAGAGTCTTGAAATTTACTTTTTCTTTTTCCTTGTGGGTCTTAGAAATAATTTTAAAGACAAATGAAAATAAACAATCTTCCTAGTCATTTGTTATTTGCTGTCATGTTCCAATCTGGTTGGCACACTTTTCCCTTAATGTTTAAAGTGAGAACATTGGACTAGTTATCTGCAAGCTCCCCTTCAGCTCTAATAGTATGCATCATTGTTGTGTATGTAGCTAACTTAAACTTTTGCTCCTAATTCTCTACTTCCTATTGTAAACAGAATAGTTAATCTATAGATTGTATTGGGCAACTGTTTGTACTCTATGTAACTAGAGTTGTCAGATATAAATACAGTATATCTAGTTAAATTTGAACTTCAGACAAACAACAGATAGTTTGTTAATCATCATGCAATATTTGAGACATAACCTAGTCTCAAAGCTAGTTGTTTATCAAATTCAAATTTATTGCTTAGTTGCTAAATTGTGTCTGACTCTTTTGTAATCCCAAGGACTGTAGCCAGGCTCCTCTGTCCGTGAGATTTCCCAGGCAGGAATACTGGAGTGGATTGCTATTTCCTTCTTTGGGGATCTTCCCAACCCAGGAATTGAAGTTGTAAAGATGTTAAGATTGTCAAGCAAACTCTTTAGACCTAAGGGAAGAGAAATGAGAGAGATGATGGCATTAGTGGGTTGAACTGATTGAATTTCTTAAAGTCACTTCTAGATCTAAATGCCATCATAAAAAACTTTGAAATACTCAATTAAAAAAAATCTGGTGCTGGGGGGATCATACGGCATTGTGTAACTCTCAGTCATGACCTTTTAAAAGCCTCGTAATTGTGTTGTAACAAGCCTTTAAAGATCTTGGAACAGTCCAGTTCAGTTCAGTCACTCCGTCATGTCCAACTCTTTGTGACCCCATGGCCTGCAGCAAGCCAGGCCTCCCTGTCCATCACCAACTCCCGGAGTTTACTCAAACTTGTCCATTGAGTCAATGATGTCTTCCAACCATCTCATCCTCTGTCGTCCCCTTTTGCTCCCACCTTCAATCTTTCCCAGCATCAGGGGCTTTTCCAGTGAGCTAGCCATTTGCATCAGGTGGCCACAGTGTTGGAGTTTCAGCTTCAACATCAGTCCTTCCAATGAACACCCAGGACTGATCTCCTTTAGGATGGACTGGTTGGATCTCCTTGCAGTCCAAGGGACTCTCAAGAGTCTTCTCCAACACCACAGTTCAAAAGCATCAATTCTTTTTACATTCCAGCTCTCACATCCATGCATGACTACTGGAAAAACCATAGCCTTGACTAGACTGACCTTTGTTGGAGCAGTCCAAGGGAGATTCAAATGATTAGATTAGAACTACATTCTCTGCAGTAGCAGAGAAATTAGCTATCTTTAACATTGTGGGTTTTTTTTTTGGTTGCAAATAACAGAAACCTACTTTGCCTTATTTAAGTATAAAAGGAAGTATATTTGAAAGATTAATGTATGTCACAGAATCCTAGGAGAAGTTGAACACTCAGACTTTGGAAAGGGTGTTTATTTTAATGGCAAGAGTTCAGCTACTTCTGAATTTTTCAGTTAATAAGTTTTCCAGTCAAACTTTCTAAGCTCAGAGTTTCAGGTCTACGAGTGAGAGAATTGAAGTTTGTTCAGAAGGACAGGGCCATATGGCACCACCCTAACCTAGACTTGGGGTGCCTCTTCTCACGTTTGAGGACAATTTCCAGAGGAAATTGAGTATATTGAGAAGAGGAAAGAGGATATCTTTACTATATATATTTGTAGAACTTTTATCAATGTACACGATTTTATAGGGGAAATGTTAGGTCTAATGTGAAAATTGGAAGGAATGAAAACTTTCTATTTCCACTTCTTAAAAATATACATTTATGTTTTGTTTGTTTCTTGTATACCATTTCTAGTCTTGTTTTTCACATCAGTATCTGATGCAGCTGCCTGACCATTAAAGGAGCAATCCATAATGAATGTGACTGAAATGGAATGTCTGCAGATGAGCACTCCTCTTCACACTTTGATTTGTTTGAATAAACTAAAGAAGTTTTTGGATAATCCTTGTTTATTGATTTGTTGGAAGACCGCTAGAAAGACAGTTCTAAGTGTTTTCTGCCTAGAAATTCATTGATCGTTTGTATAAGTTAAGGTTAGCTTGTGCTATAAGAGTAACACAGAGTGGACCCAAATAATTGTGACTTAAACAAGATAGAAGAACATTTTCCTCTCATGGGAATGATCTGGAGGTGAGAGGTCCACAGCTGGTGTGGTAACTCTGGTTCCTTCCTCCTCCCTGTCTCACCATTTGTAGGCCATGACCCATTTTCTCATTGTCCAAGTGGCTCTAGCCATTTTATCTGAGACTCAAAGAACAGAATTGATGTAGGGAAAGAAACAGGGGCAAAGAACAGGTACCAGCTGTCTTTTAAGGAAGTTTTCTGGAGGTTCGGTCAAACCAATTTTGCTTGTATCTCATTGGTAAGAACTTAGTCTC